CAATCGGTTCCCTGTGGTCTCCTGCAGGCTTTTGCGGTGTCCCCAGTCTCCGTTACATTTCCGCCGTGTCTCTTCACGCACCCAGTGCATACGCCGCGGTTCCGCCAGAGACATGCTCATTCACGCACTGAGATCAATGTAGGTCGGGCAGTTTGCTATTCCGATTCATGTGCCCACGCGGTTCCATTCGATTGTTCCGCGGCGTTTGCGTATGAAAGGATCAGTATTGCTGCCGGCGTCTTCGAAGAGATCAGGGTCCGTGCAGTTGCACTGCGTTCGTGGAGCGGCCCAGCACGATGTTCCAGTGCTCCGTGCGGACCAGGTGCCTGCAGTATCGCCATGTCCGTTGCCGCGTCCGGCGACGCAGGCGCCGCTGAGGTTCGCTCGGGAGAGTGGCGTGGCCGAGGCAAAGAAGCGCAGGCTCGAGCCAGAGTGGCTCCAGAATCGAACTGTCCCGCGCTGTCGGCTGCCCAGCGGGCGGCCACTGTATCGCAAGCAGAAACCTTCCCCCGTTCGTTGGGGATCTCAGTAGGTTCCTTTGGACCCTCGGAGGTCGCCCTTATCTCGTTCTCTCTCTCTCTCTCTTTCTCTCGCTCTTTTCCTTTTTTCGTCCTGTTCACCCCCCCTTTTCATCCCCCTTCTCATCATCTTATTGTTGGTCCGCCTCATCCTCCTCCTCGCCACGCTCCTCCTTCTCCACCCCGTCTCCTTTTGCCAAGCTGTTCTCCACCCCGTTTCCTCACCGATTGCTCCTCCCTGTCGCATTCCCAAGCGTGTCGGAAGGGCGGGCCGGGCGTTTCGCCTGATACTTCTCACCATCTTTGACCATTCAAAACTTGTGTAGTTTCAAGGATGGAGGGCGGGCCGTTTTTTTCAGAGTGTGGCTCTTGCTCGAGCACCGCGCGCTGTCTGTTTGAAACAGCTTCGAGGATGGAGGGTGCGTGCTTTCGTGTAGAAATTGTGCAGCAGGTTTTACGGATGGAGCGCGATTCCTTTCAAAGTGTGGTTTCTCGCTGCAGCGCCGCGCACATGTGTTTTGAACGCCTGCAGCTGTTTCAAGGGTTCGTACGGTTGAAGTCTCCGGAATGGTGCTCTGACAAGAGCATAGGACTGTCAGGATACAACAGTCATTTCAATTCGCGGTGTTGGATCCCAGGAATTTTGTTCTGGCACGACCCAGGACGTTCCGGACGCAGCTGCTATGTTTTGATTGATTCGCCGCGTTGGAGTCCCAGGGTTGAAATGTCCCCGTTGGGGATTATCAGTCGGTTGTGTTCCAATCGAGCATTCCCCGCACTCTCTTGGATTATGACGATGGAATTGTGAGGGTCATTTGATTGCAACGTCGTCGATGCTGGTTTGCTTTGCAGTGGTCCTCACCCTCCGCCTCCTCCTCCTCCTCATCATCATCATCATCATCTCGTCCTTTTCCTCCAAGAACGGCCCCCGATTTGCCATGGGAAGGGATTCCGGGAATTTCGAGGTGGATCCGGCCATGGCGACGAGAAACCTTTTACAGGCCACAAGAGGGCAAAGGAAAATGGCCAACGGCCAAAGGCCGCCACCCTCGAACCTTTATTGAATCGCTTCGCCCATTCCGCCAGCCCACATTGCCTCGCCGCTGTCGTTTGTCACGGTTTTGTTGTCAATACGGTGCCGTTGGGCGGCTGCCATTTTTCGGAGGCGGTGGGTGGTGGGTCAAGGTCGCATGGATGTTGGTTGAGCTCTCGTGAGAGGCCTCTCGGGGGCCTCTGGGAGGCAGTTTTGAGGTTTCTTGGGGGCCGTGTTGGGGCCTCTTGGGGCCTCTTAGGGGCCTCTTGGGGCTTCTTGGGGTGCCTCTTGGGGGCCCCTTGGGGCCTCCTGCGGGCCTCTTGGGGCCTCCTGGGGGCCTCTTGGGGCTGAAGGCCGCACTTTTGGGTTTCTGATCCTCTTCTTGGGTCGCTCCTGGGGCCGTTTTGAGGCCCTCTTTGGCCGTCTTGGGGCCCTCTTGGGCTCTCTGGGGCAGTTCTGGACACTGTGAAACCCAAACGTCGCACTTGAAAAACAAAAACATTTTCCGATGGGAATGGGACAATTTTTGATTGTTGGGACCCTCTTGGAGAGCCTCTTGGACTTTTTCGCTGCCTCTGGGGCCATCTGGAGACCATCTTGAGCGTTTTGGAACGATCCTTCGGCGACTCGGGGCCTCTTGGGCCGTGTAGGGGGCGTCCCTGCGCCATCTTGGCGCGCTCCCGGAGCGCCCTGGGGGAGTCGGACGGGCATCGGCCGGGCGTCGGCCGGGCATCGCCAGGGGGTACTTCTCGTCCGGGGGCCCCCAGTGGCCGCCACGCGCGCGCGAACTAGAACTATTGTTGATTAACCTGTCACTTAGGATCTTAGCACGCCTCTGGCCTGCTTGGCCAACGGCCTAATGCCGCCACCCTCGAACCTTCATTCTCCCAATCCCCCTCCTCTCCCTCCTGCTCTTCCTCCCCCTCGTCCAGCCTCCCCCCCCGCTATTTTCGGAGCCACGCTCCCTCGCTCGGGGGCCTCACTCTTGGCCCTGCTCTGCCTCCTGCTCCGACCTGCTGAGCACTGACAAAGCAATTCGGATTGTGAAGGCCTTACGGTCAGTGCCGCCGACCCTGAAGACGACGACGAGGACGAGGAAGAGGATGAGGGCGCGGAGGAGCAGGAGGAGGAGGTGGAGGAGGAGGAGGAGGCGGAGGACGCGGTGGAGCAGCAGCAGCAGGAGGAGGAGGAGGAGGAAACGTAGGAGGGCGAGGAGAATTGGAGTCGGAGGAGCAGGAGAAGAAGGACGCGGAGGAGGGGGAGGAACAGGGGCAGTCAGGGAGGAGGAAGAGAAGGATGGGGAGGAAGAGGTCGAGGTTAGGTTGCGGGGCACCGGGGAAGATCACGCCGGGCAGGGGAGGGGAGCAAGAGGAGGATGATCAGGAGGATGAGGATGATGAGGCGGAGGATGCGAAGGAGGAGGAGGAGGAGGAGGAGGAGGAGGAGGAGGAGGAGGAGGAGGGAAGCGGTGAGTTGGAGGAGGAGAAGGAGGAGGAGGAGGAGGAGGACTAGGAGGATCTGGAGGAGGAGGAGGAGGAGGAGGAGGAGGGGTGCAAACCCAAGAGGCATCAACGATGTTTGAATAAGTCCTCCCTCCAAGCTCTCTATTCATAGGCCCCTAACACTGTTCATTTCTACTAAGAGAACTGCCTCGTTAGAAGACAATTGTTTCAAGACCCTGAAGCATGCCAAAACATTGTTCTCGGGATTCCAACGCCACAGATCTACCTGACAGTTGCGTCTTGACGATCCTGAATCATGCCAGATCGCCGTTCCTAGGGCTTGAACACCGCGAATCAACAAATTTTTGTTGCACCCTCATAAGCCTGAATACTTGCAACATGCCATCATGGCACGTTGATCACGGGAACTCGTGATTTTCTAGCAAATTTTTAAGACGAGTGCGTGCGGCGCTAAGGCGAGAGCCACACTTTAAAAGAGAGCCGCCCTCAATCCGTGAAACCCTTGCACTTGTTGAAGACGGCTGTGCGCGGCGCTGAGGCGAGAGCCACGCTTTGAAAACCACTCGCCCTCGATTCCAGTTGGCTCCGCGTCCGCCGTGGGCTCGGCCGGCTCTCGGCCGCGCAGCCGCGGGCGGCCGAGGGCCCCTCCCCTTGTTCTCGTCGTCCTCCACAATTACTCAATATGAATACTACTCTCCCTCTTCCCCTGATGGCGTCCTGGGAGTAGTAGACCCCCCCCGCGTATTGTTTTTTAACACACAGGATTCCCGGGAGTTGCGTTTTCGCCTGCGTTTTTTTTTTTTTTTTTTTTTTTTTTTTTTTTTTTTTTTTTTTTTTTTTTTTTTTTTTTTTTTTTTTTTTCCAAAATGCTGCTCTCGCTGAGGCGCCGGCATCATTTCTGCTCCCGAATCGTTCCGAATCGTGCTCCCGCTGCAGCGTGGGCCTCATTTTCGGATCGGTGTTTGGCCTCCGTCGTTCAGGATGGCGTTCTCGCCCCAGCGCGGGCCTCTTTCTCGCGCGCCCATCCGCCCGCCACCACCGCGCCGCACCACCACCACCACCAGCACCACCACCACAACCAGCACCACCACCACCACCACCACCACCACAACCACTACCAGCACCACCACCACCACCACCACCACCACCACCACCAGCACCACCACAACCACCACAACCACCACCACCACCACCACCACCACCACCACCACCACCACCACCACAACCATGCACACACGCACGCACGCGCACCACCACCCACTGCGCACGCGCGCGCGGAGCCACAGGTCCGCTACGACACCCGCCCGCGGATAGAGAAAATCAGCGCCATGGTAAGGGATGGGAGGGAGGGGTAGGACGTCAGATATGACGCGAGCGCACCTAGCCTGTCATCCTCCCCCTCCGCTTCTCCCCCTCTGCTCCTTCTCCCCCTGCTCCGTCTCCTCCTCCTCCTCCTGCTCCTCCCCCCTCCTCCTCCTCTTCCTCCTCCTCCTCCTCCTTCTCCTCCTCCTCCTCCTCCTCCTCCTCCTCCTCCTCCTCCTCCTCCTCCTCTCCTCCCTCCTCCTCCTCCTCCTCCTCCTCCTCCTCCTCCTCCTCCTCCTGCGGGCCCCGCCCTGCGGCCCTGCCGCTACTGCCGCTGCTCGCGCGCCCTCCGCCCGTCGTCGCTGCTGATCCTTCCAGCGAGCACGGCGCCGAGAGGGGCAGGAGGCCACAGGGGGGCTCTACTCCAAATTTCGTAATAAAAGGGAGGGGGTCACAACCCTCCCAGACGAGAAGTTTTAGACCCACCAGACTATCCATGAAAGGGCGGCCCTTTGCCCAGACCCCCCCGAACCCTCCAAGACAGCTCAAATTAGACCCCCCCCGAATGTGACCCCCCCCACTTTGTTATGGAATCCGGAGTAGCCGTGGTTCCTCCCAGGTTGTTCCTCCTCTTCCTCCTCCTGCTCCTCCTTCTCGGGGGGGGGGGCTTCCGCGAGCTGCGAGGCTCCATGGTCGTGGCGGTGAAGAGCAAGGAGAGGCGAGGGAAGGCAGCATGCCCGCCCCCCCCCCTTTGCGGGCATTGCTTCTGTCCATATCCGGTGCAGCTTGGAGTGTAGGGCTCCCTTCTCCAGAAACCCGAGGCGCACAGGATGTGGATGCAAGAATCTGCCCCCTGGGGCCTCGATTTGTGTCCATATCCAGTGCGCCTCGGCTTTGTGGCGCCCCATCCAAGAAAGTCCAAGACGCACTGATCTGAATGCTGCCCGCCCCTGTCTCTGCGGCGCCCGCAGCCTCGACCGCCGCGCCCAACGGAGGGAGTCGCGGGGGTCAGCCCTCGTCCGACCGACCCTGGCCTCGGTGGGGGGTGTTGTGCCGCCGCGGCGGGCCGGCCCGCTCCGACGATGCGACGCGATGGGTTCATGCAGCGATGGCGCGAAGACGTCGGAGTCGTGCTGCTGCTCACCGTCGCGCTGCCGCTCCTCGAGGTGTTGCTCGCAGGCGCGCCCCAACAGGATGGCCAAGCCGTGCTTTTACTCCCCGCCGAGCCGAGGGCCCCAGAGGTCATGGTCAGACAGGTGGCATCTGTGACCGTTCAGGCCGTGGTGCTGCTGCGCGTCGTGCGGACCTCCCAGACGTGCTGAGCAGAGAGGTTGAACTCCGCATGATAGGACGGCGCGGAAACATTGAGGGACATAGGGTCACCATCGGGGACCTGACGGAATTCAACCTTGCACGATCGAGGCCGCGATCGGCATTGTGTCGGCGATGTCGATCGTTCAACCTGAAGGTTGAACGATCGACATTGTGTTGAAAATCTGTGCGAGCGCGCCAGCGACGTACGAACTTTCCGTATGTTCTGTCCTGGCATTTTTTCTCGTTTGCGGCCCCTGGGGATCGCGGCCTCTGGGGATCGGGCCCCAGGGCCATCAAAGACGAACCCGGGGGAAAAATGAACCTCTGGCGCATTGACAAATACCGTCAGATCTGGGGAGGAGAGGTCCTGAGGCAAACGGGCCCTATACCCTAGACCCTAGACCCCAGGGTCCTCATCCAGAGTAGTTTTGTTGACGGTCGACGCGGCTCGTGGAGGGTCTTGGTGGCCCGAAACCGAAGACAAGGTTTCAGGACTTAGCTTTTTCTCTCCACGGCCCGCGTCCTTCATGCTAGAATCAGTGCCCTTCAGTCCTGGTGCTGTTCCTGCATGTCGGCTTTGGACACCGTTGTCGGACAAGGAGACTACATCAGATTGCCCCGCCACGAATACCCGCCCCCAGGGAAGGGGTCGATTCATTGAGTCTTGTTGGATGCTCTTTCTAACAGGCATAAGATACGTTTCGTTTCGCATGTTTCACAGGCTCGTAGAAGCTTTTTAAATGGCCGCTTACAGCGACGAGAGGCAGCTAAAGGCCGCTTGAAGACCGCTCAAGGCCATCTTAGGCCGCTAATATTACACTACAGGCAGCTAGAGGCCATGAAAGGCTACTAAACCGAGGTGGTGCATGTTAGCTTGAGGTTCCATCTAGACTTGCCTAAGGTCGAAACCACTGGGGCCCACGGACTGGCGGAGTCGATGTCAGCCGAGGTCGGGGGGCCACGGATCGAAACACACTGGAACAAACGCATCGTCGGATGCCTAGGTTCTCAGACGGGCCCAGAGGCTTCTGAGAAGGCCTCGCAGAGGCCTGGAGACCTTCCAAGCAGCCCCATGCCCTTTTAGACGCCCGCCTCCTGAGGAGGCAGCACCCCCTGGCGTCACTCGCTCGGGCGCGCCGTCATGCGGAGCGGAGGCGAGTGGAGGTGAGCGGTGGGCAAGGGAGTAGAGCGGAGGGGAGGGGGAGAAATGGGGCGGGAGCAGCGAGAGATGGGGGGAGGGAAAGGACAGGGAGATGGGTAAGGAGGCAGGGCCGAGGGGGAGATGGAGGGTTTAGGGGAGGTGGAGGGAGATGGCGAGGCCGAGGGCGGGAGACGTGGGGACGGGAGGGAGGGTGTTTTGGGAGGCAGAGGGGTGAGGGAGAGAGAGAGCGAGAGAGAGGGAGAGAGGGGGGAGAGCGAGAGAGAGCGAGAGAGAGAGAGAGCTTCCTCGCAAGATCAAGCTGGCCTTCGGGGCCAGCTTCTCCTACGGGCCCCGCAGCTACAAGCTTGGCCGCATGGAGGCCACCATCCAGCTCGTCGCTCACGGGGTGGGGCGCCGGGGTGCTTCGAGCCCAGACCTCTGGCGGATCGATCGTTCATCCCGCGGGACCCATCTGCACCCAGACGGGGTCTCAGCCCCTTCCTTCTCCCTGGGGACCGTTCTTTGATGACCCCCCGAGGGCCCCGGAAACGGGCGCCGGAGGCCGATATGGGGGCGAAATCGCCCGTGGTGAACGAACCGCGACGTCGGAGGTCTGCGGGAAGGATGGCCGGCTGCACGCAGCAGTGACGCTCCGCCGGAGTGATCCTGGGTGCGGGCCCACAGGGTCGCCCCCGGCACTGGCCGATGTGCTTGGATTTGCCCCTTTCCGCGGACCCTGAACGATCCAAGCCCTTGCAAACGGTGTGTGTGTGTGTGTGTAAACCAGTTGGTAGCTAAGGGTGCCTTCTAATTTGTACCTTCGAAGAATTGATTTGCCGTGCAGAAGTGCGAGGCAATCCACCCGCCCAGAGGCATGACGATGTGTCGGCGATTCTGTCGTCACAATTTATCACGTACTAGTGCGAGGAAAAATTCGCTGTCACCGTGTACTCGCTCGTAGAGGCCCCTTAGCTACCACCCCGTTTGCTAGCACTCCGTTTGCAGGGGCTTAGAAGATGTTCACCAGAGGTCGCTCCCCAAGAAGACTAGGCTTTGCCGAATGCTTTCTCATTGTCGTGTGGAAGAAGCCAGTGCGTGCGGGGCTATTCGTCAGAAGTGGCCCCCAGAGTTGCTCGGCTTGCTCGGGGCAAGCAATGCCGAGCAAAACAAAGCAGCGATTGCAGGCAACGTCAAGGAATGCCAAGGACATGCTTGGCATTGCAACTCCAATCCGCCAGACTGCAAATTAATGCAAAGCAATGCCAACTAACGCCACACAGTACGTACCAAGCTACGCCAAGCAGCGCCGAGCAATGCTGAGCAATGAAGTGCAACGGCAAGCAACGTTAAGTGATGCAGAGCAACGCGAATCAATACCAAGCAAAGCAACGCTAACAATGCAATGCGAGATGACGGTTCCAGGAAATGTCAATCTTTCCAACCATTGCAACGCAATGCCAAGCAAAGACCCCAAGCAATGCCAATCAAAGACATCAAAGACCCCAGGCAATGCCAATGAACGCCAAGCGATACCAAGCAATGCAAAGCAATGCCAAGCAGTGCCAAGCAATGCAATGCTGTACACTTTGCTTCTTTGTCTCGCTCAGATCTGTTTTCCATTGTTCTGGGAGAACAGGGGACCCCTAAGTGGGGTCGCGCTGGATTCATGTTTGTCTGAGGTCACTACTGGGCGCAGCCGATGGAAAGAGGAGACAAAGGAGGACGAGGTGGAGGGGGAGGGAGCGGAAGAGGAGGTCGAGGAGCAGGATGGAGGTGGACGAGAGAGAAGGAGAGGGGTGAGGGAGGGAGGGAGTGATGAGGAGGAGAATGTCTTCTCTGGATGCGCACGAGTCTGTTTACGACAACGATTTCTTGATATGTAGCCTCATCCGCAGAGTAGCACGAAGTCCTCCCTCCTCCTCTACGTTCCCTCTCCTCCTCCTCGCGATCCTTCCACAAACCTCCGACCATGTTCGACAGGATTGTTCCGCGATCCACAGGACGTGCGGATCGGCCTCCTCCCCCCAAGAATCTCTGCTGGAAGGATGAGAGGGAGGGGATGATAATGATGGGGAGGAGCAGGGAGGAATGGGAAGGAGGAGGGAGGAGGGATGAGGTTCTCGGCCCAAGCCGAAGTGCGCTACCCTCCTGCGTTCTCGTTGTTAACAGATGAGCGCTGCGGTGTCCAACCTTCCCGCCTCCCTCCTGGCTTGGCTTCTTCTGTCTCCTCCCTCCTCCCTCCTGTTTCCGACCGGCGTCCTTCCCTGCCTCTTACCTCTCCTCCCTGGTTGGCTGTGAATTGCGCAGAAACCTCGTCGCCCATGGCCGCGACGACTGGCAAAGCTGTCGCTGCTCCCGTGGGCTCGTGGGAGGCCCAGCGTAGTGCGGTTCTGCGCGGATGAGAAATCGATCTCGAACTCCCTGGGGGCCGCGAGTTGCGACACCGGGTCACTTCGGCGGGCGCGTTGGAGGCCCAGCGGAGTGGCGTCATACGCGGATCAGAGGGGAGCCTTGCCCTCCGTTGGGGCTGCGAGTCGTTGGACCGTCGGCCGTGTCGTGAGAGCTCCCGGGAGGAAGCTCGGCGGAGGGACGCCGTGCGCGGATCCGTGTGGCGCTGCTCTCCGTGGGGGCCGCGACAGCGCCTGTGTACGCCACACCGCCCATGTACACCACAGCGGCCGCGTGCCACACGGCGCCAGTGTGTGCCACAGTGCCTGCGTGCACCATAACGCTTGTGACGCTCGTGTACACCACAGCGCGTACGTACACCACATCAGCCGTGCGCAACGCAACACTAATGTACACAACAGCGCCCGCATGCACGACAGCGACTGTGTACACCACGGCGCCTGTGTGCACCACAGCAGAGCATCATTGTTGCAAGTAGAATTTGAGAAGGAATCCTTCTGACAACTCCAACATGGAGCGCCTGTGGATTCCACAGGAAACGCTTGTGAGGCATCGGATTAGGAAAGGAGCCCTTATGGAACAAAAAGCGCCGCTGGAATCTATGAGTCCTTCCGAGTCCTCCCGCATCATTCTAACGCCTCCCATCTGCGACCAGAAGGCTCCCGTAGAATTGGCCGTCGGAGGACCAAGTGGACTGATTCAATCGACCATTCTGCGGTGCACGCTGAAATGCGCACGTGCTTTGTAGCACCGACCCGCACGACGGGAGGGATGGTGAGGGAAGAGGAGGAGGAAGTGGAGGAGGAGGTGGGTGGAGGAGGAGGAAAAGAAAGAGGAGGAGGAGGAGGAGGAGGAGGAGGAGGAGGAGGAGGAGGAGGAGGGAGGAGGGAAGAACATGGCATTCCATTATCAGCACTTCCCTGGCGTGGTTTTGAGCTGTCCGCAGGAAGTCCACACTTAACATGCTCCTTCTATTTGTCCTGTGCACACAGGCGCTGTGGTGTACATGCAAAATGTGGTGCACGCAAGCACTGTGTACAAAGGCGATGCGTTGCACATGGTTGCTGCGGTGTACACAGGTGCCGTGGTTCACGCCAGCATTATGGTGTACACAGGTGCTGCGTTGCACACGGCTGTTGCGGTGTACGCAGGCGTTGTGGTGAATCGTGCGCTGTGGTGCACGCGAACATTGTGGTGTACACAGGCGATGTGGTGCAGGTCGCCACCAACATGCTGGTCCTACGTACGTGGCCCCTGTCACCCCTAGGCATTCCCGGACGCCGCCAGTGCGGAACGCGACATCATCTTGGGGGCAGGGGATGTTGGCGCCGATGAACGCCGCTATCCTTGAACATCAAACAACTGGATCGAATTGCGAAGCTGTCGCCACGTCCGCGGGTTTCTGGGAGGCCGAGCGGGTTGGCTTCATACGCGGGTCAGAGCGAAGGCTCGCTCATCCTGGTTAGTTGCGAATTGCGCAACTGTAGCCACTTTCGTGGGCTTCTGGGAGGCTTGGCGGAGTGACGTAATTCGCGGATCAGAGTAATTTCTTGTATATTCTGGGGGATGCCAGCTGTGACACTGTCGCCACTTCCGTTAGGTCCTGGGAGGCCCAACGGACTGACGTCATATTCCTTCCTGGCATGTTGCGAACTGCGAATATGTATCTAGTTTCGTGGCGCATTGGAGGCCCAGCGGAGTGACGTGATACGCGGATCAGAGTGAGTCCTCGCATTCTCTGGGTTTCGCGAATGGCGAAACCGTCGCCCATGTCGTGGGCCAATGGGAGGCCCTTTCTGGGGTGACGTCATACGATGGACATAGTGAGGCCTCGCCCTCCATGGGGGACACGGGCTGCCAAATTGTTACCACCTTCGTGGGCTCCTCGGGGTCAAGCGGGGTGGCGTCATGCGCGGATCAGAGCAAGACCTCGCCCTCCCTGAGGGTTGCGAGGTGCGACACCGTCGCCGCTTTCGTGTTTTCCTGGGAGGCCCAGCGGCGTGGCGTCATGCGCGGATCAGAATGGAAGCCTGCCCTTCCTGGGGGCAGCGAGCTGCAATGCTGACGCCACGTTCGTGGGTTCCTGGGAGGCCCAGCGGAGTGGCGTCATGCGCGGATCAGAATGGAACCCTGCCCTCCTTGGGAGCCGCGAGTCGCGAAGCTGACGCCACTGTCGTTTGCTCCCAAGAGCCCCAGCGAAGTGACGCCATGCGCGGATCAGAATGAGATGTCGCTCTCCCTGGGGCTTGCGAGTGGCGACGCTGTAGACACTTTCGTGTGCTCCCGGGAGGCCCGGCGCAGTGACGGCATACCCATCAGATGGAGACCTCCTCCGTGGGGTCTGCGAATTTCAAAGTTGGCGCCAGTTTCGTTGGTTCCCGGGGCGTCCAGCGTGGTGACGTACGTCATACGCGGATCAGCTCGAGACCTCAACGTCCCTTGGGGTTGCAAATTGCAAGGTTATCACCGCATCCGCGGGCGCATCGGAGGCCTGTCGGAGTGACGCCATTCGTAGTTTCGAATGGGAGCTCGCCGCCCCCTGGGGGCTGAGTCATTGGTCCTAAATATACCCTTATCCGGGGTCGGGCTGGGTGAAAAGGGCCGTCCTCTGGTTTGGGTGCTTGCCACTGCGCCCGATCAGCCTGCCGCGTGCGCGCTTTTTCAGCATCCGCGCGTCAGGACGCAACTACACGTTGAACGGCTGGTAGTTTGATTGCAGCGACATGCCCTGGTTTGCGTCAGGGACGTCTGGGGGCATCGGGGGTGTCCGCGGGGTCTAGAGCAGCATTGGAGTGATGGTGCCTATCCAATTTGGGGACAGGCGCCACCACTTCGTTGCGTTTAGGCCTGCCCGCAGGGGCGTCGTTGCAATCTCATGCTCCCCCTGGGGCCGCTGCGGCCGCGTTCGGGAGCGCTCTCGGGGGCCGCGCGTGCGCACGAGAGCGATTTCGACCAAACGCCACCTCCTCCTCTTCCTGCTCCTCCTCCTCCTCCTCCTCCTCCTCCTTCACTCCTCCTCCTCATCATCATCCGCCTCCTCCTCCCTCCCCCAGGGGGAGGGGAGCGGGAGGCGCCGCGGCGACCATCAGCGGGCGTCGGCGACTGTGCCCCCCGACACGTACCCGAACCTAGCTGGGGTGACGGCGGGCGGGTTTTCCAGTGAGCAACCCCTGGCGAACGCGCCTGGCGTTCGGGCCCCAGGCGTTTGGGGCGAGCGCGGGATTGCAGCGGCGCCCGCCCAGGAGGACGCATTTTGCGCGTCGAACCCCAAACGCTGGATTGTGCGCCTTCGTGGGCGCACCTCCGACCGAACCAATGTAGCCCGAGAGTGACCAATGTGTGGTCGGCCACTCTGCCGATTGGAACGCGCACGCCTTCGGTGCCAGCGGATGTCCGGAGAAGACAGCGTCCTGTAATGTTCCATGGGCCGTCACATCTGCACTTGTGCAACCCCCGCCGGCTGCGGCGCGTCGCTCCCCCCGCCCATTACCACCCCGCCTTGGTAAGTGTATGGGTATCTTTCGCGCTCGAGACTTGAGAGCTGCGGAACCGTCGTCGCTTTCGTTGGCTCCTGGGGGACCCAGTGGAGTGGTGGCATACGCGGATCTGAATGAGACCTACCATTCCTGGGTGTTGTGAACTGCGCAACTGTCGCATCATAAGTCATCGTTGTCCTTCCGAGTTCGCCTTGCCATGACATGATTTATGGTACTGGTTGGCTCATATATGCTCCGCGAGTCGTGTAACGTGTAAGTCCCCCATGAACGTGTAGCAATTCACCACGTATTGCGTCATTTGTCATGCCATCGTCCGTAACAATGTGGCACAATATTGCTACGTCGCAGGGGAACTTTCGACACTGTTCCCGGCTGCCTGCCCAGCCTAAAGAAGCAAAAGCCTTGTCAGGCACCAGCTGAACCTTCACAGTCAACACGTTGGAGCGAGGTCTACTTCAGTTTCGCAATGTTGTAGTTTGTCTGGGTGTCTCAGCTCATTGCTTGGGTTGCCAATCGGGCTTGCCTCGTACATCATGTCGCGAGTGCGGCCAAAGAAAACGGCTTCGTTTCTGGCGCGGGGATCCTTGTGGCAAGTCCTAGACATTCCCTTGCCAATGACAGGCCGTGCCTTCCCATGGAACTCTTGAGTGCGCTCCGCCACAGCGCCGGCAGCATCCACAGCACCAGTACGGGGGAGATCGGCCACAGGCAAGAGCGGCCCTCTTTACGAGTCGCTTTTGCTGCGCGGCGGAGGCGGCGGGGGGGCGGGGGCACACCCAAGAGCGCGGGCCGTTACTGCCGCACCGCACGCAACGAATCGGCACACCGCGCATCCGAGGCGACTACTGCCTCAGGTAAACTCCTGCGTGCAGCCGAGGCGGAGGAGGAGGAAGAGGATGAGGAGGAGGAGGAGGAGGAGGAGGAGGAGGAGCAGGAAGAGGAGGAGGAGGAGGAGGAGGAGGAGGAGGAGGAGGAGGGGGAAGAGGAGGTCAGGTTCGGCGCACCGGCAACGACCCGTTCCCTCCGGTCTACGAGGACGAGCACGAGGAGTTGCGGTCGGAGGCGGCCGTATCGGCCGCGCGGCACGACGACGAGAGCAGCGGCCAAGGCCAGGCTGCCCCCGTGTGGGCCCAGGGCGGTAAGAGAGGAACAGGGAGGATGGGAGGACTAGGTAGGAGGAGGGAGGACAAATGACGCTGAAGATCAGAGACCGTTACGCGCCCCTCGTCGCCACGGATGGATTCGCCAAAGCATCTTGGCCAGAATGAAACCCAGGAAAGAAAGATCTGTCGTTAAGCGGGATCGGTGAGTTGCGGCAGTGGGAGGAGGGAGGAATGATGAGCAGTGAGGATGGGGAGCAGCGGGTGAGGGCGGGGAAGGAAAGGATGGTGTGGAGCAGGAGGAGGACCTGGAGTCCTGCAGGAGGAGCTGGGACGGGGGGACGACGGGGAAAGGACGGATAGTGCGAAGGTGGAAAAATGAGGGAGGAGGAGGAAGTGTAGGAGCAGGGGGAGAAGGATGATTAACAAACACAGGATGAACATAATCCTTAGAAGGAGGATGAGGATCAGGAGGAGCAGGAGGAAGTATATCCATCGCTTGTGGAGGAGTGCGCCATGGTGCCGGCATCCATGTGGTCGATCGCCTTCACATGGGTACTCAAGAGAGGTTTGCAGATGGGCACACATCATGCGCGGCACGCTGAGGACGGTCGGTCGGCACGTCTGACCCCGCTGACCAGCTATCCCGAAGAGGGAGGTGCCTGGGCCGCACAGACAGCAGGAGAAGGAATAGGTGGAGGACTCCCGATCATCTGCGTTCCCATGATGCCTTTCAGAAACACAAGTGAATTAAAGCTACACGTACATAAACTCGCTGGACATGAAACATCTCAGGAACATAGGAAATGATTACATACATCTGGAGCACGGGAATATAGCTACGTTTTGGGCCAGTTATATACTTGTCCGACACATCGGCGATGCGCTTTCTTTCCTCATACACCACGGTTGGTTTTTTCCATGCGAATACTTGCATTTCTGACAGGTGTTCGCCTCGCTTGCTGGTTGGTATGCTTACAAAATGTCTGCGTATGAGTCCTACAAAGACGAAGTGTTTGTCCTACTCCCTCGATTTTGAGGTCTTTAGGGGAGCCCACTTTTATTGTTATTGTAGTGGCCTTCGGCCAGTGCCGCCGATCCGGGGCGCTCCGACTGATGTGATCCTTCTTCGCCCTCGTCCCTCCTCTCTTTTTCCCTCCCTTCCTCTCACTCAGCATTTATCCAGTGGCCGTCGGCCTATCCCGCCACCGTGCGTGGGTGGTGGGTCAGAGGCCTCATGGATGCTGGTTGGGATCTCGTGGTTGGCTGGGACTTCTGGGGGCCTCTTGGGCGCCACTTGGGGCTTCTTGGGGGCCTCTTGGGCCTCTTGGGGCCACTAGAGGGAGGGCCTCTTGGGGGTCTCTTGGGAGCCTCTTGGGGCTTCTTGGGGGCCTCTTCTGCGCCCCTTGGGGCCTCTTGGAGGCCTCCTCGGAGCCTCTGGGTGCGGGAGGGGTGGTACTCGAGTTCGGAACCCCCTCGGAGGCCACGATCCTTGTGAGGGGTGTCAAAAAACGCATCCGCCGGAAACTCGCACCCCCCCCCCCACCCACCCCCCCTTCCCCGGCAGAGCCACCCCGGCGGCAACCCCCCCAGAGGCTGAGGCTCAGCCTCGAGGCTGCAGCTGAGACTCCTTGAAACTCACACGCCGGATCGGCGGATTTTCCGGATGGGCGGGGATAAGAGGAGGAGGAGGAGGAGGAGGAGGAGGAGGAGGAGGAGGAGGAGGAGGAGGAGAGGGAGGAGGAGGAGGAGGAGGAGGAGAAGGAGGAGGAGGAAGGGAAGAGTGGGAATGGGAAGACATGTTGCCGCTCTAGCTTGATCACCAGTGTGAGCGATCGCGAGCGCATGGGAATTCTTCCGCCCCGACCCCGATTCCCTGCCCCGGAGGCAGTGGAACCTTACCATGCCTTTTCCTCCAGAGCCAGCCTGGCATACACTGGTTCGAAACAGGATGCCCTGGGCCTGGACACTCCACCAGTTGTCGAAGACAAGGCGGCTCTTTTTGCCTGTTGTCCCAGCGGATCATCCGCGGAAAGGGTAGACCTCGTGGCGCAAGGTATGACCCCGTCCAGGTTCCCGCACGTGGCTGTGCGCCTGCGGGCGGCAAGTCAAACATCTTTCCAGACGTGCTGGCGCGTGTAGCCAGAGAAGCACGTCTTCCACGCTGCAGCAAGTTTGTTTCAAGTCAGTAGACTCGTGCGCTCCGAGCTTCTGCAGAAACGGGCAGTTCGTCAGTTCGTAAACCTGTAAGGATCAGGCTGCAATGCACTCAAACGGAAAAAAGGGCTCTCTGTCGGTCCTTCTTCTCTCGCCAGCTGCAAGGTTGACTGACGCAGCCTGAGTCAAGCAAACCGTGCAATACTGAGAGTCGCAGCTGACGTCCCAGCAAAGGGCCCAGCAAACAACTGGACAGACAACCTCCCAGTACAACCAGAGGCGGGCGCAAGCAAACATCACGAATGTCTCGCCGGCTTTGCCCGCCTCCGCATCGCACGGGCTCGTCAGCCCGAAGATGGGCTGACGCGTCAGTCACTGTCCGAGCCCTGCGGCGACCCCAGGCATCTGGTGCCTCGAGAGTGGAGGCGGCATGCTTTTTGCTGTTTTTGGTTGCTCCGGAGGCCGGCCTCGGACCCAGGCAACGTCAGAGAGCGGTTCAGGATGAACGTTTGGCCCCACGAGCCGTGTGAGGGTATCCTCCTCCTCCTCTTCCTCCTCCTCCTCCTCCTCCTCCTCCTCCGCAACATCAGCCTGGCGAAGGACCCCAATCATGTGCAGCTGCGCGTGGTTCAAGGTGCGGCCCTCTCGGAATGTGCAGCGCGCGCGTCCTGGGGCCCTCGGTGGAGCTCCGTGGTGGGCCATGGGGCCACGACACAAGATTGAGGAGTTTGCCAATGCGAGGCCACCCAGCATTTCTACCGCTGCCGCTGGGGCCTTTGTCGGAGCTTCTTTTTGGCCACGAAGTTTCCATTGGGGCTACGACGCGTATGCGAGGTGTGCCGAAATTTTCGCGCCCGCATGCGACCATTGCGATTTGAGCCTTCGTGGAGCCCCTATGTGGGGCTACGAAACGCCTAAGGGGTGCTGAAATGGAGCCGCCCAGGATGCAGCCGTTCCCACTTGGGCCGTTGGTGAAGCCCCTCGGTAGGAGCAGCGAAACATGTGAGGGGTGCGTCCATGGAGCCTTCCTGCATGCGACCGTTACCACTGGGGCCTTCGGTGGAGCTCCCTATGGGGGCCACGGAATGGATGTGCCGAAATAGAGCCGCCCAGCATGTGACCGTTGCCTTTTTGGCCTCCGAGGGAGCCTCCTATGTGGCCACGAAGCCTGTGAGGGGTTTGCCCACATGGAGCCGCCCAGCATGCGACCGCCACTCCTGGGCACGGTGTAGCTTCCTATGTGGCCACCAAGCGTCTGAGGAGTTTGCCGCCCATAATTTCCACCGCCGCCACTGGGGCCCTCAGTGGAGCCCATGGGGCCACGAAACATGTGAACGCAGTGGGGGCCCATGCCAAGAAACACCCCGCTTGCCTCCAGGTTGCCCTGGAGTTCTTGGGTTTCGATGGTTTTGCGATGGGAAGCGTGACTCTCCCACACCCCAAATCAACGGACGTCCTGGGGTATCAGGGTTGGGCGTCTTGTGGAAGGTTTATTGTGGAGTGGCCTCGGCGACGAGGAGGAGGAGGATAAGGAGGAGCAGGAGGAGGATGATGACGATGATGACGATAATGACGATGATGACGATGATGACGATGACGATGACGATGACGATGATGATGATGATGATGATGATGATGATGATGATGATGATGATGATGATGATGATGATGATGATGATGATGATGATGATGATGATAATGAGAATGATGATGATGCTGATGATGCTGATGATGATGATGATGATGGTGATGATGCTGATGAGAATGATGATGACTATTATGATTATTATTATTCTCACTATTACTATTGTTGTTGGTGATGACCATGATGATGCTATGATGATGATGGTGCTGATGATGATGATGATGAGGAGGAGGAGGAGGAGGAGGAGGAGGAGGAGACGCGCACGCTGCTGATTCAAAGCGAGGACCCAACTCGCACGGCGTGGTTGGGCAGAACACTGTCCGCCGCATGCCTGGAACAGTCGGGAAGCCGCCGCAGGCGTGCTCGAGTTCGAGGAGCTCGTCATTCCGCTTACGGACGTCTGCTCCCGCGAGCTCTTCCTCGCGGAGCGGATCTTGGCACGGCCAGATCTCTCGATCGAAGCCCTGCGGCGTGAAGGGGGGGTGCCGACCTGTCAGATATTCACTCGCACCATGTCTTTGGCGGATGGTAATGGGGGGGGTCCAAGAGAAGCACCCTAAATGTACCATTCTGGGCCCCTTGTGGAGCCAACAGGCTGAGCAGGGGCCGAAAATTGCCTTAATGGCCACTTCAGGACCCTTTCTTCACCACCCATTGTTGTCACCCCCCATCACCACCCGCACCATTGTCGGCGATCTCTTACAATAGGCCGCAAGCTTCGAAAGCGTGCCCAGAGGGCTCAGGTCTGAAGCAGCCGGTGTACGTATTTTCCACACGCTGCCTTCTGCGGCATCGGGCCAGGAGCGTATGTCTGGCCCAGCAGGGTCTCGGTGTTTTTTTGTTGTTTAAACGTTGGGCGAACTTGAGCGTTTTGGCTGTAGCATTGATGCAGTGAGATAAGCAAGGGAGCTACGCCGACTTAGGCCTGTCTTGACAATTGAAGGCTGCTGTCAGATCTGACGTAAGAGATGCAGAAAGAAGTTGTAAAAGATGAGGTGCCCATGTGGGCGCACGTTAACGAAGAAGGTACCCAGGGGGAGCATGAATAACATTACCATAATTCAACACATATCACTGCTCGGTACTCCTGGGGCTTCCTGTTGGTGCCGGCAGAAATGCCAACGGCACTTACGGAAGACGCAAGTCGTCCAGCGGGTTTTAGTTTTTTGTTTTTGATATGAGAGAGCGTGATCCACTGCAGCTTTGCTGTGGAACATTTCCCTCCCTATTCCTCCGGAAACCCCGGGGTCCACCCCTCCCCCACTTCCGAAAACCCCCCCCCAACCCGAACACCCCCCCTCCCCCCCCTCCCTCCCGGCAAGAACGCCCCCCCGTGCACCCAACCCCCCCCCCTCTTGAAAACCGGACGGGGTCATTAGCAGTTCGCCCCCCCCTCCAAAAAATTGGACGGGGTCTTTAGCGGTTCGAACCCCCTCTCCCCACCAGAAAACCGGGGTGTGTCACTACCAGTTCGAAACCTCCGCACCCCACACTCGCCGCCAGCAAAGGACTCCCGGGTCCCCACCACCGCCCCCACCACTGTCCCACTGTCCCCACCACGGTCCCACTGTTGTCCCCACTGAGCCCACTGTCCCCAGCAGTGCCTCCACCACTGTCGCACTGTCCCCACTGTCCCCGCCACTGTCCCCACAACGGTTCCACTCTTCCCACTGACCAGCTGCACCGAAGACCCCAGTTGCGGAACTCGCATTCGTCAATTCCTGCCCAGTACAGCGCTTCGTGGCCCAATGGGGAGCTCCACCTAAGGCCCCAGTGGCGCAGTCCGCATGCGGTTCCCCCTCCCAGTGCAGCGCTTCGTGGCCCCAGAGGGACCTCCACCGAAGGTCCCAGTGGCGCAGTCCGCATGCGGCTCCCCCGCCCGTTAAAGCGTTTCGTGGCCCCCGAGGGAGCTCCACCGTAGGTCCCAATGGCGCATTTCGCAAATTTTTCCCCCGCCTAGTACAGCGCTTCGTGGCCCCAAGAGGGAACTCCACCGAAGGCCTCAGTGGCGCAGTCCACATGCGGTTCCCCCGCCCAGGACTGCGCTCCGTGGCCCCAGAGGGAGCTGAGCTCCACCGAAGATCCTTGTTGCGCAGTCCGGTTCCCCCGCCCAGTGCAGCGCTTCGTGGCCCCAAAGGGAGCTCCACCGATGACGATACCCAATCTGCGGTATTCACTATTGCATTTGGTTGGGTGTTTCGCCAGACTATCTGTTTTGCCCTTGAATGAACATCGGTGTGCCGCCGTTGGAGTTTTCATGTTTTTTTTCGGGGGGAGGTCGTTGTTTGTTGGGACCCCTTTGGGAATTGAGGAGACAATGAGAAAGAGAGAAACAGCTAAACATACAGAGAGAGAGACCTCAATAGAGAAAAACGAGACAGAAACGAATCAGTGAAAGAAAACAGCTTCCAAATGGAAACCAAATAAAAAAAGAGAGAGGGGCAGACGGCAGCCAGACGTCCCCAAGCGGCCCCGACATCGCCCCTTCAGAAATGACCGCTCTCTCGGAGATGGCAAAGGCGCTGATGGAAGGTATAACATTGAATGGGGGCATGTTTGCAGCCTTGAGCAAAGCAGGAGCGGGAATGTCGGAGGCCCTTCGCTGTGCAGAAGAATATGACTTCCTGTTCGAAGAGTACATGTCCGTGAACGAAAAGTGACGAAGAAGCGGTGAAGATGGCAAAACAGGAGTTGGCGGAGAAAGAAAGAGAGATGCACGAGGTGGGCGACTACAAGACGGCGACGGAAAAAAGACGAGCAGCAGCCAGAGTATCTCAAGGCGCTGGACTTCGTGGGCAAGTGGAACGACAACGTGCCGCTGTTCAATGTTTGCAGGACGGGCACTGGTTGGGACGCGAAGAGGGGGGGAGCTTGCTCGCACGGCCTGGCCTTCCCGAACAAGCTGTGGTGGAGAGGCCCTAGTCCCCGCTCGAGGAGCGACAAGTGGCAGTTCTGGTGCAAGGTAGACTGGTTGCAGCGGGTGAAGGCGCAGGGGAGCCACCCAAACGACGTGCTCTTGGCGGAATGGGTGGGCAAACTGAAGACGGACCAGGCTGCGAGAAATGTCCAACGATCGGGCGCGAGAGCAAGTTCTTCCCGTTCAAGTGCGGGCCATCGATGGTGGTGGAGCTCAAAGTGGGAACCGCATGGCGAGCGCTCAGTGCGGAAAGGCTGCCGCAGCAGTTCGACGACGCTATCAAGGAGTGCCACTACGAGTTCTTCGACGCGGCCAAGAAGATGAGCCCAGAGGAGCTAGACGATTCGATGTGCTCCCACGGTCCTTCCCGATGACGCACAAGATCAAAGGTTGCGACCTCGTCGCGAGGTACCCGGTCGACCAATCGGAGAGGCAAGGGAAGAAGGCTTTCACAGTGCAGAGCTGAAGAATGACGAGGAGAACCTCCACAAGGCAACGCAAGTCGCCAGACAACGTGGGCCCAGAACATAAATAACAGCCCCCAGACCATGCTGGATGGCACCGAGATCTTCCCGGAGAAATTCGACCCCAGTCGGAGGTGACGACGGCGGCCAGCTCAAGCGGCCACCAGTGAATACACCCATGGGGGCTTGCAGATTGCCAAAAGGAAGCATTCGCGAGGTTCCTTGGAGTGCTGTTCTCGGCAAGGAGTGAGCTGGCCGTGCCCGCAGGCAGTCAGAAGAAGCATTCGCGTGGTTCCTCGGAATGCAACTCATGTCAGACTGCATGGGCCCAACATTACGCTTGCGCCGCCATCGCAATGGGACGTATTTATGAGCACCATCAGGTCACAACTGCAGGATGTGGAGGAAGAAAGTGATCAGAATGATGCCCACCAGTGTGATCCTAATTGGCCCTACCTATGGCCGTGACTTCCTGTGTGCTCTACCCCGCACACCCCGAAAGGGGACGCTGGGCTACCTCACAGGGTACCGGGGTGCAGATGTGGCCTCAAATGGAGCATCTGTCGGAACGACCGAGAAGTGAACTGAGTGGAAGAGGGGGGGACGGAATTCAAACTGTGGAAGTGAGAGTCCCACCAGCAACTGTTTGGGGTCTCGGGCCTTCCGCCTCTCCCCTCCCCCCTTCTTTTGAGGTCGTGTCGTTGTCTCCTCTCCCCCTTGCCTAAGACGCCCTGCTCACCCCGCGCGCCCCCTCCCTTAGGGCGCGCGGAAGGGCCAGCAGCTGCCCCTCGCACTGACCCGATGGGAGTCGCAATATAAGGTAGTGAGCCTCTCTTCTGACGGGGCCACTTCGGAACGCGGTCCTTGAGCTACGGGACATGCCCCCTGCCAGCCTTAGTGAGAGAGCAGGGCTGTAACACAACCGAGCGCAGAGGATTTTGGCAATAGTTCGTAGATCACCCGTGTTGGCGCTCTGACGTCACCCCCTCATGCGGATGTCTTTGTCCTTGTCCTCATCCTCCTTTTCCTCCTGTTTTTCCTCCTCCTCCTCCTCCTCCTCCTCCTCCTCCCTTTCTCTTCCCCAATCCTCCCTCCCCGTTCCTCTTCCTCCACTCTCGTGGCAGAGATTTTTTTCCGCCCGACCACCGGACTGGCCGGTAGGGTCCGGCTGGGCGTTTTACATGATACCTTATTCCAATGAGTGATTCTATAGGGTTACTCCACATCCGCCGGCCCGTATATAAACGATTGCGCTTCCCGGACTGCATCCACAAGGCTTGTCCGAATCATGGCACGGCGGTCGACATCGTTCGTGTTGCTTCGTTGCTGTTATCGTAACTTGTGGTGCTCAAGTGTGGCATTTTGGTGGCCTTGTGATTTGTCAGCAGGCCATATCTGGCCGCTTCGAGGCATCTTGGGCCAAGTTTTGGGGCCTCTGGGGGGATTCCGGGGGCCATCGTGTATTCCTTCGAGGTTCTTTTGGGCGTCTCTCAGGGCATCTTGGGGCGTTCTTGGGGCAGGCTGGGGGCGTCTTGGGGCCGAAGGCTCGAACGGGTTCCCCCGTGGACTCCCTCTTGGAGCCGTCTGGGGGCCCTCTTGAGCTGTCTTAGGGGCTTCGTCGGCTGTTGTTGGATTTTCTTGGACCCCTTTTGGGGGTTCCTTCGGCCGCCCCGTGGCGATATTGAAGGTTTTTTCGCCCGTATCGGATGTTTTGAAAGCCGAAAAGGCGAGTATGCGGAACATGCGGTGTTTGTTCTCTAAGGGAGTGGGGCGATTTTTGTTTCTCGGGACCCTGTTTGGGCGCATCTTGGGGGCCTTTTGGGGCGTCTTGCGAATGTCCCAGTGGCGCAGTTCGCATACTTTTCCCCCGCCCAGTTCAGCGTTTCGTGGCCCCAGAAGGAGCTCCACCGAAGGTCCCAGTGGCGCCGTCCGCATGCGGTTTCTTACCCAGTACAGCGTTCCGTGGCCCCACGGGGAGCTCCACTGAAGGTCCCAGCTGCGCAGTCCGTATGCGGTTTTCCCCCCTCCCCCCAGCATAGTGTTCCGTGGCCCCAGAGGGGGTTCCACCGAAGATCCCAGTGGCGCAGTTCGCAGGCAGTTCCCCCACCCGGTACAGCGATTCATGGCCCCAGAGGGAGCTCCACCGAAGGTCCCAGTGGCGCGGTCCGCATGCGGTTCCTCCACCAAGTACACCGTTTCGTGTCCACATAGGGAGATCCACCGACGGTCCCAGTGGCGCAGTTCGCATGCAGTTCCCCCACCCAGTACAGCGCTTCGTGGCCCCAGAAGGAGCTCCGTCGAATGTGCCAGTTGCGCAGTCCGCATGTGGTTCCCCCACCCACTACAGTGTTTCCTGGTCCCGTGGAGAGCTCCACTGAAGGTCCCAGTGGCGCAGTCCGCATGTGGTTCCCCCACCCAGTACAGCGAGCGCTTCGTGGCCCCAGAGGGCGCTCCACCGAAGATCCCAGTGGCGCAGTGGCGCAGTCCGCAAACGGTCCCCCCACCCAGTACAGCGTTTCGTGGTCCCAGAGGGAGCTCCACCGAATGTCCCAGTGGCGCAGTTCGCATATTTTTCCCCCGCCCAGTACAGCGATTCGTGGCCCCAGAGGGAGCTCCACCGCAGACGATACTCACAATATTGCATATGGTTGCGTTCTTCGCCAGGCTCATCCAAATTGAGGTTCATGCTGGACTCTTTCTTGGACATTATGGTTCTACCTCGCTGCCGTGTCTGGATGCAAAAGCAAGGATTACAGCTTCTTTTCGAAGCGGGGTCCTCGCCAGCAGTGACGGGCCATGGGGCGCGCATCTTGCAATGGGGCATTCCCCGCACTGAAACAAGCAGGTAGTGCTGGGGCGTGGTATTGCAGTGGGGAGAATTTGGCACGGGCGGGCGCCTTGCAACATCGTTGGTGCATCTTGGTTGCAGTTTGGGTGTATTATTGTTCTACCTCATCCGTCTCCTGATCTCCCCCGTTAGCCAGAGGGTTGCCCGTCGGTCGTTGAAATGAGGTCTTTATGGATTCCCACATCATACTTTAGCTGCTCTCCTACTTCAAGGATCGAGTGGTTTTCCATGTTCCTTACTCTTCAGGGGGCGGGCGGAAACCCAATCTACTTCCAACGCCTTCCTACCTCATGTTTCTACCCACCTCTTCCGACCCACGGGTACGCCGTTCCGCCGACCCCAAAGGACAGATTTACAGATTGGTTGGGAAAAGAGAGCAGGGGAGGAGAAGGACGTGGAGAAGGAGGAGGGCGAGGCTGGAAAGGGCCTACTGGTGCATGTGGAGGTCTTCTTGGGGTACTATGCTTCCTCCTCCTCCTCCCCCTCCTCCTCCGCCTCCTCCTCCTCTCTCTTTCTCTCCTCCCTCCTCGCTGAACGGGCCCCGCTGCTCCCGCTCCCCCTCCCGCGCGGGCGGGCTGCCTTGGCCCATCGTCGCCGTCGTCGACGGCGTCGTCTGCGTTGCGGCGTTCGTTCGTCCGCCGCCGTCATTGTCGCTTGTCGTCCGCGCCGTCGTCGCCTGGCTTCGTCGCCGTCGTCGTCGGTGCCATGCTGCCTCTTCTGGACCTCCTGCCCCGCCGCGAGCGCGCGAGAGGCCGATCCGGGACCCCGGAGTCCTCCCCTCCCCTCCCCTCTCCTCCCTCCCTCCCTCTCGGGGGAGCTTCCTCCCTCCCTCCCCTCCCCTCCCCTCTCCTCCTTCTCCTCCCTCCCTCCCTCCCTCCCTCCCTCCTGCCCTCCCCTCCCCTCCTCCCTCCCTCCCTCCCTCCCTCCCTCCCCTCCCTCCCTCCCTCCTGGAATCCTCCTCCCTCCCTCCCTCCTCCTGAGCCCTCCCCTCCCCTCTCCTCCCCTCCCTCCCCTCCCCCTACCTCCCCTCCCCTCCCCTCCCCTTCCCTCCCTCTCCCTCCCTCCCTCTCCCTCCCTCCCCCTCGGGGGCGCTCCCGGGGCCCCCAGCCGCGGCCCCCGCCGAAAGGAGCTCATGCAGAGCGACCAGTGCCAGCTGCTGGCCTCGCTGTCGCAGGGCCGGGGCCCCGGGGGGCGGGCGCCCGGCCTCGGCCCCGGGCAGCTCGGCCCCGCGCTCCTGGCAGCGCCAGCGGGGGGGTCGCCAGCGAGGGGGTAATTAGGGGGCCACGTGCGAGCCCTACCCCTGCCCCCCGCGATTTCTGAGGGCGGCAAGGGTGGGGTTCACTTCGCTCGGGAGGCCTCGGCCCTGCGACAGCTCGGCCTCGCGCTCCTCCCGGCAGCGCCAGCGGGGGGGTCGCCGGCGAGGGGGCATCTCAGGAGCGAAAGAAGGACGTACATGTACATGAATCCACGCTGGTTTCGAGAGTACGCATTGCGCAAAAGTTCGTATAACGCGGCCGGTCTCGCGGATCGAGGGCGCCGTGTTCATGTACATAGCTGGACGCGTACGTCCTGTGTGGGCTCCCTAGCATAGGGGGCCACGTGCTCTGTGGGCCCCGGAAACGGCAGGGCCGTTTTTCCACCGTTTCCAAAAAGATGTCGCCTGAACACGGACACGGCAAAACAACGGCGACCGGAAACGGCAAAAAAACGGCGTCGGATCCGGCACACAAAACGGCAAAACGGAACCAGTAAAACAGCCCTGTCGTTTCCAGGGCCCACTAAGGCCACGTGCGAACACTATCCTTACCCCCCACAACTTCTGAGGGCGAGGGTGGGGTTTCACTTCGTTCGGGAGCTCCCGAGCGAAGTGAACCCCACCTTCGCCCTCAGAAATCGCAGGGGGTAGGGGTAGGGTTGGCATGTGGCCCTTAGTCACCAGCGAGGGGTGCCGCCATGGAGAGAGTCGAGAGGCCCAGGCAGCAGGCAGCCCGTCACGTTCGTCCGTGCTCGTGCGAGAGTCCTCGGCGCTGCCCCGAGGCGGGCGCGCGTCATGCTCTCCCGCAGGGCCCCGGCCCCCTTTGGACAGGAGAGCTTGCTTGGGCCTGTGCGTGAGAAAGGTTGCACGCGCACCTCCCCACTGCGGGCGGTGAGCCTCGTGCGCACCGTACGTTGCATCTTCGGGGGACCTCGTGTGTCCCCCAAAATTTGTAGATTGTCTTGCGCCTGATGCGAGCTCGATGCGGATTCGACGCGGATTTTGCGTGCATTCGACGCGGATTCGACACGGATTCGAGGCGGATTCGACGAGTCCGACATGGATTCGACACGGATCGACGCGGACAGGGGGGCGACGGGACAGACAAGGCCCCCCGAAGATGCAACATAACAATATTCGGGGTATGATATATGCAGTTCGTCTGCACGCCAGGGGGCTTGTTGGGTCTTCTGCTCGCCCTTCATTCACAACACTGTGCAAAGTTCGTTCGCACAATTCCATTGCTCCCGCGACAGGGACGTCACTTCGCCAGCGGAAGAAATGTGTGCGTGAGAGAGTGTGTGTGTGTGTGTGGGGGTTGTGTCTGTGTGCCCTCAACGCCCTCCTAGCGAAGCGACTCGTGGGCATCACCGACGCCCTCAACGCCACCCACGGGGATGCGGAATGGGTGGCCTTTGGCAAGCGGCACGGATCAGGGATGCCGGCGCGGACCGGGCCCGGCGCGTGCGGCGGCGACGAGATTCGACGCTTCTTGGCAGGAAGGTGGCTGCAGCTCGGTGTCCCCCCACTCGACTCCGCAGTCCTCCCGGCAAACCTGGTGATGGTCCGCCGCCGAGGCCCCTCCGTCCAGCGCTGACCCCAAGGCGACGGGGGCTCGAGCCCGGGCCCGCCATCGGGGCCCGAGGCGCGGCGCCCGCCCACGCCGCTCCCGCGCCGCCGGCCGACGATCCCCGCGCCCAGGGTGCGGGCGCTGGCGCCGCACGCTGCCCCGGCCCCCCTCTGGGCCCCGGCCCTCGCCAGCGACCCCTCCCGGTGACGAGCCGTCGCAGGACTTCAGCGCGGATGTCTGGCGGCCCCTGGCCTTCAAGAGTGCTGTTTTCCAGCGCTCGTGTTTTGTCAGCCCTTCTTTGTGTCCGGTTTCCTTGCAACCCTAGTTTTCTGCCCCAACGCACTCTTATGATTCGTACCTTGAATAGAAGCAGTGCCCATGTTATATGAATTTAACCACCCTATTCGCGACTCACGCGCTCATGCCAAGGGGTGGGCGACGCAACCTACTTGTAAGCGTGTGGCCCCCCGAACGTCGTTGACCCGACTCACTCGCCCGTGGCCCACACGGGTTGGCAGAAGATTCACGCCTCTACGGACCCGGAAGGGCCAGCGGTCTTTCTTTGCATGGGTGGGCGACTCTGTCTCACGCCCATGGCCCTGAAGGGGTCGGCGACCCCCCCCTAACAAACACACACATGTGCGCCCGTGGTCGCTGGGGGTCGGCGCCGTTGAGGCTTCACTTGCATGTGCGGCCCTTACGCGCCAATGACCCCACACTGCCCGCCTCCCTCTCCGGCCCCTGGCCGCCGCTCCCAGGCTGCCGATCGGGCCTCGCCCTTTTGGGCCTCCCTCCGCTCCCCCCGCTCCTTTATCAGGAGGGGAAAAAACACACAGACACAATTAATCGTCGACTCCCAGGAAAATATGGGAAAATAGATGGGAAGTGGGGGGGAAGACAGGAACCCAGAAAATATAGGAAAACATGGGGAATCCTGTTATTCGTGTGTATTTATTTGTGTGTCCCAGGGCCCCTTCACTTTATCCCGCTCCTCGCCGGCCGGCCCGTCCCTCCAGCGCGCCGTGGGCTCTCCCAGCTCTCTGGCCTCGGGCCCCCGGCTCTCTGCCGCGGCCCCGCCCACCCAGCTCTGGCGCGGCCTCGCCGCGCCTGCGCGCGCCCGCGCCCGCCGCGCCCTGGCGTGGCGCCGCCCTGCGGCTGCCCCCCGCATCCGCTGCCCTGGCGCCCCGCCCTGGCGCCCCGCCCTGGCGCGCCGCCGCCTCCTCGCGGAGGAGGAGGAGGAGCAGGAGGAGGAGGAGGAGACAATTCACGAGGAGGATGAGGAGATGAGAAGGACACGGAGGAGGTGGAGGAAGAGGAAGGAAGGACGGAGCAGGGGAACCAATGAAAACCGAGGACCCCCCGCCGCTCGCCTGCCCCCGCTGCGGCCCCCCTGCCCCATCGCCCCGGCGCCGCTCTGGGCCACTGCCCCGTGAGGGGCCAGCCGCCTCGACTTTCCTGGCCTCTCTCTCTCTCTCTCTCTGTCTTCTTCGCTTCCAGCAGCTGCGCGCTCGGCTGCCAGCTGCGCGCCCAACGTTTGGCGAGTCGCCCACCCGCAACGTCCGAACAGTCTGTGTATGTGTGAATGTATGTGTCTGCGTGTGTGTGTGTGTGTGTGCGTGTGTGTGTGTGTGCTCGTATGTTTGTGTTTATGTACGTGCGTGTGCTTGTGTGTTTGTGTTTGTGTGTGTGTGTGGGTGTCCCCCTTTCGTACCCCCCTCTCGGCTGGCTGCACGCGAGTCGTGCTACTCGGTTTTCCTTGGGTGACCCGGCACGCCATGCTGCTTCTGAGCTAGGCTCCCGCGCGCTCTTCACTCTTCCGCCATGAGCTCGATTGCGCCGCGTTGCCACGCCCTTGGCCGCCGCGCGAACAAGTGTGTGTGTGTGCGTGTGTGTGTGTGTGTGTGCGCGCGTGCGCGTGCGCGTGCGCGTGCGCGTGCGCGTGCGCGTGCGCGTGCGCGTGCGCGTGCGCGTGCATGTTCGTGAGATGGAGAGGGAGAGAGAGAGAGAGAGAGAGAGAGAGAGTCTGCTGTGTTTGTGGTGGCTGCTCGCACGTGCAAATCCACACATTCGCGTGCGTGTGCGTACGCGTATGGGAGGGCTCGAGGTCTTCGGATTGCGCCGCGATGGAATTTCGCTTGCCGTGCTCCCAACCGTAATCTCAGCGGCCCTAAGTCGCGGTGCTGCCGCTCGCAAGTCCATCTCGGTCCGGGCGCGTGGTCGGGTCAGGGCCGACACCTTGCTCGGGTTGCGGCCGCGCAGTCGGTTTGGGATTGGCAGGAAATTGTGCAGGCGACGCGGGGGGGCATCCGCTGTGCGGCAGGTTCGCGCCGTGTCGACGCGACGGCGATCCCGGCGCGGGCGTTCAAGGTTGAACGCTGCCGGTTGAAAGTAGCCCTTGGCCAGAAGCGATCACCGAAATCCAGCGACCAGCGCGATCAGAAGGCCACGATCCTTCAAGGCTCGGCGTCTAAAACCAAGGCTGACGTCGACACGACACGAATCTGAAGAAGCCTGGTCCCGCCAGCGTAAACCGCAAGCCCAGATAACACACCCTTACCGCACAAACCAGGTCCCAAACGCACCTGGGCTGATACATCCTGTCCCAGCCGCCCTCGAACTATTCAACACCAGTGTGAAGTGTATACATTCTAACGCCGCAATCCCGGGTCCAGGTGCCATCGAAAATGCGCCGCAGAGACCACGTCCCAAAGAATCTCTGAGAGGAAATGCATGTACATCGAGATCATTGCCCCGCGTTTGAACAGGGTGGCATGCCGAGTAAGGCACTGGGCCACTGGCCTGTTTTTGTTTGACGAGCGCGCGTCTCCGCACCTTGCCTCCCCCCACTGGCCGCCCCCCTCGTTGCTTCCGCCTCTGGTGCTCAATTCGCGATCCCGTAGCCTGGTTTGCCGCTTCGATCGAGCTGAGGCCGCCAGTGCTGCGACCGACAGCAGATCCTCTTCGGCGCGCACCCCCCCCCCTCTCCCAGCGCTGCCCCGAGGCTCACACTCCAAGTACGGCCACCGCGCCCTGCGGCGCCGCCGCCGCACCCTCAGGCGTGCTGGCGCTCCCTGGGCGGCCTCGGTCCACCCGAGAGGGGCCCGGACGCCCATGGCCCGGCTGGGCCACGAGGCCGCGGCTATGCGCGTGTCCTGCGGGCGAGTGGTCCACCAGTGGGCACGAGGTGGTGCCGAGATGCCGGAGCCTGCGGACCGCGGCCCCCGGATCCAGGCCAGAGGAAAAACGCGTGGCCGTGCTGGTTGCATGGTGTATTCGCAGGCGATCTGTCTCCCCCGATCCCCCGGTCCCCAAGTTTGACAGCTCAGAAAAAGGGGAGACACTAGGATACGCCCCAAGGGGGCTCTTCGGGCGCACCTCCATCGGAGAGGATGGACGGCCCCCCATCGTCTATCCCTGGGCTGGGCCCCAAACTCCTGGTCCATTCGAAACACTACGAAGCCTTGGATACTGGTCGAAATATCCCCTGTTGCGGATATTTTGGATTTTGTTGGATTTTGTGTGGATTTTGTTGGATCGGTGGATTTTGTGGATCGGTGCTGGATTTTGTTGGATTTTGTGGATTTTGTTGGTTTTTGTGTGGATTTGATTGGATTTTGTTGGATCGGTGCTGGACCTACCTGGCGCCGCCGGCGCCGAGCCGAGAAGGTCGCGCGGGCCTCCGAGCGCCTACGTTTATGCAGAGGTGCTTCCCTCTCAAGCAGTGTCGAGCTGTCCTGGCTTGCCCACCGGTCTACCGAATAATTGGGCGCCCGAGTTATCCGGGGTAACTCGGGTCCAGGGTAACTCGGGTTTGGATTCCCGAAAAAGGAAGCCGAATTATCCCTGACCCGAGTTACCCCTGATGATTCGGGGCTCTGAAATAATGCTTTAAGAACCTTGTGTGGTCCTACACGAAATGTTCTTATAGCATGACGGGCCGGGCCATCTTGTTTCAATACATTTTCTGTGCGTTGTGAGAACATCTTGTTTTGGTTCTTAGAACATGTTTTGCTCTGAGGGGATGTCGTGGTAAGCCTACAGGAATGCTGGGACGGTCGGTCCCTGCTCGACCTTCTACTTCCGGACTGGGGCCCTCGTTACAGCCGGCACGGGGTTAAGAACAGCACAGGTGCCTTTACGTGCTTCGCGTCAGGGTTTTGAGTCACGTTCGTGTGGCCATGTTTCGATTGTATTTGCAGGCCGCTTTGTGAACGCAGACGCAGTGGTCATAGAGGTTAAGCTGCTCCGCGTTGTCAGCATGTCTGAGGCACTTCGACGACGGGGTTGTTGGCCTGGAGCAACAATTTGAGCATTGCGTCCTTTTCCCAGCGGTTGCCGCTGTAATTGTGTTGATGATCCTCAGGACGTGTGTTAGCCCAATGTGTGTGTACCCGTTTCAGCCCAACCAGTAGATCATTGCATCACCTCCGTCGAATCGAATGTCCTCGATGGACAAGCACACGTTGGCGCTAACACACGTTCTGACGATCATCGATTGTGGTGGTGAGCAGTGGTGATTGTAGGCGTAATCGTAGAGGTAGTTCGTCATGGCATTGGTAGTCGTACCAGTGACATCAATCACACGTGCAGCAGTCATCGTCGCACCAGTAGTGTTCAGCTGGGTAACATCACTGCGCGTGGGGAACCACATGTTTCTGTCACCGCATCTTCTGTTGGATTCATGTCTGCTCTCATACTCGTGCGTGCAGGTGCTGCTTAGATGGGTTCCAGCTAGAGCTAGGATTCGATGGGGCATTTGCGGTGCGGCTCCAGGATGAGCCCTATCATGTGGCAGCCTCCAACTACCCAGCAGTGTCTGTTGAAGCGCGTTTGTTGGGAGAAGCCAGACTGGCAAACTTGCATGTCATGCGAGGGTGTGGAGTCAGAGGGGTCGCGAGCTCTGATTGGCCAGGGCTTGGTCCGAGGAGCGGCATGGCACACAAGGCACGGCTTCGGCCTCTCAGACGCCTCTCTCGGAGGCCTCTCCCCTCTGGGCCGGACGCAGTGTCGGTACGTGGGCGTCGGCCAGTTCTCCTCGTCGACGACCCACCTCCCAGGAACGACAGGGGCCCTGACCCAGACCTCCAGCGTCGTGATTTTTGTTCAATCCATGGGCCTCACGACGCGCAAATCCCACAGATGGTTTCTCCTCAATTCTGGCATGTGCTTCGAGTTGTCGGCAGCATGGGCCGTTCTCGGGCTCCGGAACGATCAAGACTGGGTCCGGGACGAAGCGCTGCCATCCGGTCGGGCCTTGTGAGGTCGCGGATTGTAGAAACACAGCGTCGGAAGTCTGGGGAGTTCTCGGCCCCTCTCCCTGGACCGGTGTCTCGCTCCCTGGTAATTTGTGTCGGCCTTTGGCTTGCCCGAGGGCCAGGAAAATCGGCTTCAAGTCTAGACGCCAGGTTGACAGGGAGGCGACCTCGCCTCTAAATCCCTAGATCACCCTCATCCCTCATGTTCCCTGCTACGTTGCATCTTCGGGAGACCTTGTCCGATGATGTCGGCCGAGGGTATGACGTTTATTGGCGCAGACACGGGGTGGCGCGAGGGGGGGGGCTTCTGAGAAGGCGGGGCCTCCTCAGAAGGGCCCTTTGTCTTCTAAGAGGGTCTCTCAGAAGCCGGGAGGGCTTCTGATCAGGCCCCAGCCTTTCCAGGAGCCCCCCCGCCTTCCTAGAAGGCCGCCCCCCTCGCGCGATCCGTCAGGCCGCACGCGACGCGAAAGCGACTGCAGCGTCGGCGACGGCCCGTGGCCTTTGAAGCCCCTGCCCACGACCCTGGCGAGCTGGGGTCGCTCATGGGGTCGCCCCCGCAGCAGCTTACACTCATCAGACATCTGAGGAAAAATCATAATTTTTCATGGGCTCCAGATGTTGCTCAAGAAGTCCAAGAATCTGGACTTGACCCTGGGCGTTTTCTTTGAGGATTATTTTCTTCACAGAGCGTCTGTATATGTTGACCTGGACGACTGATTAAACAAACGCTTGGTGTGAGGTCCATTGTGATCGTTTTCTTATTCATTGGTTTGCCGATCACCGCGGGACCTCGCACCCACCCTTCCACCCCATTGAGTAGTTCTTAGCTGTTTTTGGCGCTTGTTTCAAACAGGTGGAGTCATCCCATGGGACGCTCCGTTGCATACGGTCGCATGAAGCAGAGGTCCAGAGCCAGAACCTCCCCCTCCCCTCCGCCGAATGTCGAAACGCCGATCCAGAGAACGTTCACATGGTCTTGGCGTCGAATTTTTCCCTGCCTCTAAGCCGGGGTGTCAGTTCCTTTCCTCGCGCGACCCCCGGAGAGGGGGCCTCTCGGAGCCCCCGGGCGGCCCTGGGCCGGGGCGGCCTGGGGGCGAGGGGGCGAGGAATGATGATGGGGAGGAGGAGGAGGAGGAGGAGGAGGAGGAGGAGGAGGAGGAGGAGGAGGAGGAGGGGGAGGAGGAGGAGGACGAGGAGGGAGGAGGAGGGAGGAGAGGAGCTGCGGGGCGCGCCCTCTGGCCGCGCAGGCACGTGCGGGAGGCGACCCAGCTGCTGGTCAACGCCCCCGGCCGCTGAGCGGAGGCGCCGCGCTGGCAGAGGCGGGGGCCCGTGCAAGCGGGAGTCGGCCAGAGCACCGGACCTTCCGGGATCTTGCAGATTCGGGAGCCTCGAGACGGGGTTCAGTGCAAACGGGGGTCAGCCAGAGCGCCAGATCCTGCAGGATCCTGACCCGGGTTTGCGAGCCGCTCGTGGCCGCGAGGCGGCCGCGCCTATTGGCCTATTGGCTGACCAGGGTTTGCGAAGACCTGCGTTGCAGTTTTGTTCCTGCATTGCAGTTTCTGGTTTCCTGCTGACCCGGGTCTGGATTGACCCTGGTCAGAAGATCCCCGACAGATCTAGGCCTCCCAGATGATGGGGTCCAAATAGATGGGGTAGGAGGATGGCGCCGCATCGCCGATGCATCAGCGAGGTCGTCGACCCCATCTACTCGGACCCCACTTGGGAGGCCTCTATCCATGCAAACAGGAGTCAGCCAGAGTGCCCCAGGCCACTGAGCGGAGGAGGAGTTGAGCCGGCAGAGACGGGGAAAACTGCACAGTGATCTTTTGTTCCCTTCCTCCCCAGGGTAACGCTCGTCACCCGGGCCGACCCCCCCACCGCCCCTGGATAACGCTAACGATCGTGCTTGGGGGGGTGGGCCTGGACCCCCCGCCAACGTGCTGAGGTGCACACAGGTGATTGAGGCGCCGGTGGCGCGGACGCACCCTGACAGGTGCACGCAGCGGCTGCCGTTACCGTCACCCCGCCCGAAGACCCCCCCCGGAACGACTGTTACCCGGCAAAGAAGAAAAGGTCACCAGAGCGCCGTGTCTTTCAGGCTCCTGCAGAGCCAGGGGTGCATTGACCTGGGCTAGCGCGCAGGATCCTGCAGGATCTTAGTCTTGCAGGATCCTGCAAAGCCCGATTGATCCCGGGTTGCATTTACCCGCGTCAGTAGATCCCCGAGGGAGGCCACACGAGCACGACGCGACAGAAATGTGGTGGCGCGCATTGGGGCAGGAGGGGGGCGCGATGGGGGCGGCCTTCTGAGGCGGGGGGCTTCTCAGACGGGTCTGGTGGCATTGATAAGGGCTGCTTAGAAGCCGTGAGGGCTTCTGAGCAGCCCGCCAGACTTCTCGGAAGGACCTCCCCCGTGCGCGACCCCCTTGCACGCGCCGCCAAAGAACGATCGCAGGCAACTCCTCGCCCCCATTCCCCCGCTTCCTTGTACCAGCCCTCCCGCTTTGAGAGGAAAGACACCTTGGACACACACCTCCAGGGACGATCCTGACGATCCGCTATCGAGCATGGATACCCCCTCCTCGTGTAACCTGAAGTTGGGCACCATCTTCTATAGCCAGTCGGAAACCCTAGGTTGAGGTCGCCATGCCCCCCTTAGAGCCCCCGTAAGAGAACAAACAGAAGAGCAGAACACATCATAGATCAGAACCCCGAACCCACGATGATAAAGTACCCCCCCCTTAAGTAGTTTGAGTTTTTTATCCTCGGCCTCGACGGTTTTCAAATAGAGGCGGAGGGCGCGGAGGCCGAACTTCATTATCACGGGGAAAGTTCGCCATCGAGGTTACTTCCTTCTTATGTTGAGATATCAACATAAGAAGGAAGTCTTGAACTCTCTCTCTCTCTCTCTCTTAGTTTCTGTTTATGTTCTCTCTCTCTCTCTCTCCCTCTCTCTTTTTTTTTCTCTCTCTCTCTCTCTCTTTCTCTCTCTCTGTCTCTCTCTCTCTTTCTCTCTCTCTCTCTCTCTTCTCCTCCTCCCCCTGGCGCCCTGAACTTGTTTATCGCTGGGGTTGATTACCCCGGGAAAACTAAGCACATGAGCTCCCCTACACGAGCGGATGCAAATTTTAATTTCCATCAAGCGTTTACAAATTAAATCTAATAAGTTTTGAACTTTGGATTTTCGCTTCCTCCTTCTCCTCTCCTCTCTCCTTCGCCTCCTCCTCCTGTTCTTCTTTTCTTTCTCTCTATATCTCTTTTTATTTCTCCTTCTTCTCGCCCCCTGGCGCCCTGAACTGAGACAACCCATTGTTGAGGATGTCTCAACCGAGACAAATCATTGTTGAGGATGTATCATACAGGGCCAAAGACCAAGGATCCTCAAGATATCTTTGGTTTGTTCCTCTTGATATCTCTTTATGCTGGCTCTGGCGGGCAACTTTTATTATCTCCCCGAAAACCCCGAACTTTATTATCTCTGGGGGTTTATTCTCGTGGGTTCATGGTTAGTCGTTCGCATGTCCGTGCAGATTTCTTGGGTCTGGGCTGGATCTCCCTCACCACACAGCTGGCCGCGCATCCAGCGCTGCTCCTGGCATTCTCTGCGCAGGGGGGGGGGGGGTATGACAAGGGAGGTCTGGTTCCGACCTGAGAACTCCGCGTGCGCCTCCGAAAGCGTATGTTTTTGTTTTGTTTTGATATTTTGCAGGATGGCATGATAATCCAGGGCTTGCTTCTCAGCTTCTGAGCACGTGGCACGCTGTTCCTGATAGTTTTGCGCTGTCGCCGACCGTAGCACCCGTGCGCGCCCCGTGGTCGCTTCGTTCGCTGGCTGGCGGTTCGGGACCTCTCGCCCATTGGTCGCCCGTGGCCGCCCGTGGGCGCCTCCTGGGCGCCTTGTGCGGTCATTGGCGCTTCGTGGGCGCGTCGTGCGCTGGGTGGGTTACCCCCGGGTTCCGCCCGGTGGCCACCCGTGTGCGCCCCGCGGGTGCCGCACGGCTTACGTACACCGCACAGCGTGCACCACCACGCTTCGATTGCACCACGCAGCCTGCACCACGCAGCTTGCACCGCACAGAGCCGTAGCCCACGCACCATGGCTTGCACCCCGTGGCTTTCACACTGCATGGCTTTCGCCACGTAGCTTCACATAGCTTGCTCCAAATAGCTTGCATCATATAGCTCGCACTGCATCGCTCACGCCGCGTCTCATAGCCCACACATCCAAAGTTGGATACGCCACTGCGTGGGTTCCACGAGTCCAACGCTGGCAAAAACCATGTTCTATCACAGGAGAAGATCGTTGCCCGCCCTGCGTTTGTCTCAGATCCTCGAGCATCGTTCCATGCTGGCCCTGCACACGGTGCAGGCGGTTTCACCCCCTGCTCCTGCTCTCGCGCCCTTGTTTCAGCGCTGCCGCCTGCTCTCTGATATATACAGGCGCCGCCCATTGGACGCTCTCGGGTAGTTTTTTACCCTCTGACGCTAGCCGTGCAGGGAAAGACTCTGTAGCTTGCGGCTGCGTTGGAAATTGCGGGCGCCGTGCAAGAAAATCTGCGCGACCACCGATACAGGCGTCGTTGATCATGCCTGTCGTTCACGGTCGCGGGCGCTCTCTCCCCCGTGCTCCTTTTCCATTCACTCTGCTCCGCTGCTGGTGTACATGCGCAGCAATCACAGCTGATGATGCGCATGTGCAGCAGCATGCCCCCGTGTGCCAACACGTAAGTGTACGTTCTTCCTTGCCCGACGCTTGTTACCAGTTGGGCTCAGGCTCGCGGCCGATTTGAACAACGGTTGTTCGCTGAAGCTGTCCCTTGGGCCGGCCCCTCGACCCCGCGTCGCGACGGAACCGAGGAGAGTGTCTCCCTGGCGCCAGCGCCGTCGGGACCCGCCTCGCCCCCGCGCTCGCGCAGGAAGGAAGCAGAAGGCGAGCGTCAGCAGCGCTGGGGCCCCACACGACCCGTCGGGAGGGGGGCCCGACCGCGGAGTCCTATGGCGTGCCTTCGGGATAGTATCCGGAATAGACTGGGGTCCCCACTTTCCTATGGGCGCCGCCACGGCGGGACCCTCCTGTCCGCCCGTGGATGCCCCGTCCTTCCGCCGCGGGCGGGGCGGGGGAGTCCGGGGCACGAAAGGGTAGGGTAGGATCAAGATGGAGGATGGGTCGGGTTTCTGGACCGCGCCCGCGCTACTCTTTTCCACGAGCGCGGTGCGGTACGAGCAGAGGGAGATGGACCTCCGACTCCCGCAGCGTGCGGTGTTCTGAGAGCCACTGCGAGCGGGCGCGAGAAGACAGCGCCATCGGCTACGACGCTGGGGTCAGCCCCTGCGCTGCGAGGCGGCCGAACCGCGGCGGCGGGGCATGGCACTGCTCAGTGGGCCGCGGCGAGAAGAAGCCGGAGACCAGCCTCAACGGCTACAACGCTGGGGGGCCAGCGCCCGCGGTGAGAGAAGCGTGAGCCGCCGCGGCTGGCTCCAGAGCACTGCCCAGCGAGCTTCGGCGAGAGGGAGAGTGGAAGCCAGCGTCACCGGCTACAACGCTGGGATCGGTGCCTGCGCCGTGCGACGGCCGAGTTGCGGCGTCAGGCTTCATCAGCCACGCGCAGAGGGGGGTGGGGGGAGGGGGGAGGGCTTCTTAGAACCACCCCTGCTTCTTAGAAGGCGCGGGCCTTATCTGTAGATGTAAGGCCGGCGCCTTCTGAGAAGCAGCCTGCTTCTAAGAAGCCTCCCCCCCTCCCCCTACCCCCTTTTGCGCGCCGCCAACTTTAGCGTGGCGCAGCGAGCGGTGGCGAGTAGAAGCCGGAGACCAGCCTGAACAGCTGCAGCGCCAGGATCCGCGCCTGCGGTGCGAGGAGGGTGGGCCGTCGCAGCAGGCCCCAGCGCTGCTCGGCGAGCTGCGGCAGGAGGGAGCTGGAAGCTAGCGCCATCGGCTACAACGCTAGGTTCGACGCCTGCGTCGCGAGCGTGGGTGCCGCGGACGCAGGCTTCGGCGCTGCTCAGTGAGCGGTGGTGAGAAGAAGCTGGAGACCAGCCTCAACAGCTACAACGCTGGGGTCAGCGCCCGCAGTGCGAGACGGGTTAGCCGTCGCAGCAGCCTTCAACATTGCCCAGCGAGCTTCGGCACGAGGGAGCTGGAAGCCAGCGCCATCGGCTACACCGCTGGGATCAGCACCTGCGCCGCGAGGCGGCCGAGCCGCGGCGACAGGTTTGGGCGCTGCTCAGCGAGCGGTGGTGAGAAGAAGCCGGAGACCAGCCTCAACAACCACGACCGGCATTAGCACCTCATTTCGACA